GACACTTTTAGATGCTATTAACACTTTTAGATGCTATTAACACTTTTAGATACTTTTAGACACTATTAGATATAATCCAGAGCTAATACAAGAGGGTGGTTTTCCAGATGAAAACAAGTCTGTGATGACTTTAAACTACTGTTCCTTCACACATAGGGATTATGTGATAGCTTCTTAATCTTAAAGATAACATCCTATTCAAAATAATGCTAAACTACCAGCTCCTCTGAGAATAGGAGTTATGATTGATGGCCACAACCTTGGCTATTGATCAATCATCTAAAATAATAATAAACTACTTGTCTCTTTCTGCATAGGGATCATCAATTAATGTTATTTTTGATGAAAATATATTAATCAAGTCTAAAATGATAGTAAACTACCCTTATTCTTAGAGGGCCATATCTATTGTGACGTAAGGGGAACAGTCAAATGATAGCAGCCATCTGCCTTACAACATTAAACTAAATGGTCTCTAAACCTTGAGATGAATAAGTTATCCAGTTTGATATAGTATAAACTGTTCATATTGTATCTTAGTGGAATCTAGTAAAGCAAAGTCTAGTCTAGGGCCCTATGTACATTACCAAGTAGCAATATGCTTTGGTATATGAAAACATCTTTCTTTACAGATAGTCTATGTTGATAATAAAGCAGGTCCAAAATAACCTTGATATAAACTACATAGTGACAGTAAAAGTTGCCTTGTCCACTATGATGTTAAACTAGGGGACTTCCAGAATAAAGTAAAACTACTATCTTAGATATACTCTATAGTGACCCTGACTAATAAATTATCTGTGGTCTCAATGTCTCTTCATGCATGCGATCAGGCAGCTCTGGAGAAGGAGTCAGACTCCTCTTCTTTCCTTGCTGCCTCATCAAGTCTAAATTCTCTTTACATCCTTGCCTCAAACCCAACACTACATGTGGTATTCCTTATCATAGGCCCACATTTATGACAAATAAACTCCGGAGGCCGATTCAACCTCATTAGAGATGAGCTTACTATATGGGAGCAATACTGCTTGGGATTTGTAGGCACTCACCAAAGCTAAGTTCACTGTATGGGAGTGATACTGCTTGGGATTGTTATGCCTTGCTAGTTTGGAGAAGTAGGCCTAAGCCTTTGTAAAGTAATTAACCTACTTGTCTATAGACCCCTTCAGTGGCAATCAAGGGGGAAACAACAATTATGAGGATAGAATGAATATTCTGGAAACACTGAGGTTTGACTCTTGGAGAAGGAAAAAGAAGAAAATGATGGCATGAACTAGAATCCACATTGATGAGTTTACACTCATCCATCCATCATTTGCATTCATATACCTTTCTTGATACCAAACCAGACCAAACTAGTAGCTCCCAACTTAGCTTGAGAGACTGGGGGCATCCTACAAACAAATTGAGCAGGTAAAGGAAAAACACCCTACAATAATAAGGCTTGGATACCTTTATTCAGTGACAAAAAAATAGCTTAGTAGAGATGGAAAACTCCTAGAGGATCAAATAATATAAGTTGTTCTTCCCCCTAGAAAATAAAGTTATATCCTAGAAGATGCATCTGGTTGATATATTGTCTGGATCAAGAAAGCAAATCATATATGGAACTAAGATGAGGCAAGCATGGCTTGCTGTCATATTAGGTGAATAGGACATAGAAAAGGGGTATTATTATGATCACACTTGTTAGGCCTTTATAGCAGTCTATACTAATGCGATCATCACAAATACTAGGCAGCCTCACTACATGAGGCATATATTAAGGTACAGGTAATATCTTTGGTCATCAACTTCTAGTGGACATACCTGTCACTAGTTGAGTACCATAGGCTATACCACAGATGGTTAACATGGAGCTTATACATATGAACTCACCAGGACTAAAGCTCCTTATCCTCCTTGTTAAAAGAAGACACGTGCAAAACCAAGAATAGTCACTAAAGAGAAAGTAGTAGCTTAGAAAATACCTAGAGGATACATATACAGGATTTTCACACCCTTTCAAAGTAGTATAAAAAGCCTATAGAATAAGCTAAGGATCTTTAGTCTATTCTCTTTCATTACCCTACAGTCTTCATACTGTAGCCCACTCTTGGATAGCTCTGAAACTATCCCCATTTGCAATATTATTTACTCCTATGCTATATGTACAGTTGAGACCTTTGTCCATTCTTTCTTATTGAGTGACCTAAAGAAGAATCTCTTATTCTTGGGGTTATTGAACAAACAGTTCATAACACCTACAATATATAGTACCACAGCATAGAAATTTAAGACATCAAATCACTATCATAGAGACACATTGACATGTCTTGAAATCATGTCTCTGCAAATAACAATCATGAACTATTCCAGAGGTAACTGGTATGCCAGAGAGTCATGCTAGGCTACAGAAACATATTACTTGGTAGTACTGTGAATTTTAGGAGTAATTTAAGAGCTAAATCACTCTTCTCATCTTTTGGGGACTCTGATTCACAATCTAGTCAAGTATATAGGTAAATTCATTATCTTCTGTAATATAATTCCTCATAGTAGAATAGAGGGTGTTAGACAAATCTAGCATATTATACTATACAAATAATTATTAAGCATTAATTATTGAGTTTTGTAGGCAATGGGGGCAGAGAACAGAATAATTTGTACTTCTCTTAATCATGTGCATACTCCATCTTTGCCAACCCTCATAGATTTTGTAGTACAAATAGTGTAGTTGTTATAAATCTATGAGTAAGATTATAGAATGTCATAAAATCTAATAAGTCAAGAAACCAAAGCCTATATACTGGGGATCATAGCAGGCACTATTTGTGGATGTACAAATTGTCATTGGTATAGAATTCCTCACTTAGCCTAATATCAGTGTTATGCTATGCATAATCATGCATCTTTACATTACCATACTACAGACAGCACTTAGTCTATGATAATAATAACAGGAAAAAAATAGCCATAATGGAAAAAAATGACCTACCCTAAAGACTAATGTCCATGTTGGGTATACTAGGCCCTCAAAGATGATATGCTTTCTGAAATCTTCAACTATATATATTCATAGACTTACTGAAAAAATCACATAGTGCACATAGAAATCTGGAAAGATAGCTCACATAAATAAGGGTAATAGTATAGGCATTTTATGACCTCAATCTGAGCCACTTTCCATAGAATTTTAGGGCCTTGAGTAAAAAAGTAGACCTTGTGATATAATACTAGTTGCTCTCTGCTGAGAGCCTTAGTTAAAAAATAGAGGGTACAAAATTCACTTATAAGAACACCATTTAGAAGTTGCTGTCCTATTCAATAGTGAGGTCAAGGCATTTAAAAGCTGCTGGGCCTATTATATGATAATAAAGAACAAAGGAAGTTCTAGGACACCCTTCCTGATCATTTGTAGTAGCTAGAAATTATAGGACCCTACATGACCTTGATGCAAGCATTAATGATAGAACCATTGATTAGGCTCCAAATATGCCCAAACTCTCTTTCATGCATGATTTAAGTAGCTAAAGGGTCTTTCCACTGTAAGCATGTATTATTAGTGCAGACCAATAGCTCTTGTTCAAATACAGATGATAAAGGTGATAATATTCTTTCCAATGCCATATATAGTAGCGTGCATGGAAAAATTGTATTTGAATCTTGGCTTTTTGAGTAAATACCAGTCTATTCCATTATATAGATTTATTATTGCTAGAGAATTGCCATGTAGAGATATAAATGATATGCCACTAAGAAATGGGAATAAAGAAGAAGAGTAAAGGACAATGAAAAGGAATTTCACATTTTGTGGGACCATGGGCAGATATGCTAACATGTAGGACTGGCGATGTTCCAAGTCCTTAGATAAAGAATACTTCAGACTTGATTCTAAGTATGAAAATGTGCACCAACTGGATTCCATGATCTAGGTATATAATAAGTAGCATATTTTCTCTAGGAAGTAAAGTAGCAAATGGGCCAAAAGACTTAGAAGCACAATGTCTAACTCAGGGATACTAGGTGGATCTAGAAGTATATTTAGGCCAACTACCATTATAGAGTTTCCAAAGCTAATTATCAGAGATCTGCTACTTAAGGCATAGAGTGTTAAGCTGGCTAGGCTTAGTCGCGTGCACGTGATGCACTAAGAGGGGTTCCCTGGGCTGAAGCTGATTGTGACGGCCCAACGGATAAAGACGACGGCTCGTCTTTGGGCTTGTTCCAAGAAAGGCTGGTTTGTATTGATCCTCTCCTCGAAGAGTCGAAGGAGATGCTGATTGATTACGTGGCGGTGTTCGTCTGGTACAAACAAGTCCTCTCCAATGCAACAGATGACTTCAGAGGGATCCCAACGGATGACTCGATATGCGGCGAGTCCTTGATAGGTTGCAGGCGGTAGAGAATGATAAGAGCGACGAGACGAATCCAGTGCGTCGTCAGACTGAGTATGGTTCTTTAGATCTGACAGAGATCGCGAAGCGTGAGCTGAAGGTAGCCAGACGCCGGGCGCAGTGCTGAGATCAAGATGTATACAAAGTGAATGAGCTGAGGCTTCTAAGAAGCTCAGCTCTCCTATATATAGTACAGGGCTATTTAGGGCGGAACGGACATATGGTCCGTGCTTCTAAACGCTAAGTACTATCAACGATCGATGCATGTAATCCGCAGTCGTCGTTCGTACTCCGCGGCTCTTGGATGTAGCCATGTATGGTAAGTATATCAAATGTCTGTCCGCATCAATAAGCAATCAGGAACCGATCACGATCGCCATCAGTAAGCACAATAAGAAAGGGGTCATAGTACAGTAAGCGTTCATGCATCAGCATGTAAATGGTAAGCAGTCCGAGTCCGAGTCATGTGTGTAGCTCATGACCATGTCCTGAGTCACGTGCCTAGACGCGTGTCAAGTCACAGTCCTAGTCGTTAATAGTTCGAGTCCAAGGGAACACCTGACCTTCCCTTCTGTCCACGTGCCAAGCACGTGTTAGGACACGGTCCTAACACTACCCCCCCTTTTACACCCGTCGTTGACTCGTGACATTATCATGATCGAGGAGGGGGAGTGCCATGAAGTGGTCGGGGTCCATGACGGGGGCATGACGTGTCGGGTGCCCTTCCCAGTTGGCGTCGTCAATCATCCTGTTCCGAACGTGCCAGTAATACCCATAGTTCTCCGCCACATGGGCCAGCTGCGTTGAGAGGAGTTCGACTACCTCACCGTACGCATCGTAGTCGCGTATGAAGTTACGCGCCGTGATGTCAGAGCGACGGCGGATGCGGGTGATGGGACAATTGGCGATGAGATGTCCCGGGCGGTCGCACTCCCAGCAAAGTCGAGTATCAGTGGCTGGTGGCGGCAAAACGAGAGGGGGAGGAGAGGGTGAGGGGTCGAGGAGTGGGGGCCAGACTCGTTCCGAAGCACGAGCACCATTCTGCCAGTCGCTAGGCGGAGGAGAAGGTGAGTGGGCTGCAGCCCCGGCTCTTTCCGCCGCGCGAACATGGTTTATCCAGTCTGACGGCGATCCAGTTCGTGGCGAGGATGCATCCGTTGAGTGATGTGCCTCACGTTCTTGCGCTGCCTGTTCGGGGTTGTACGGCGGGCTGTTAGGGCGAGAGATGGGTCGACCTTCGTCATCGAAGTCGGGAATGGGAGGGAGCCGATTTCCAGGGAAGGGGTCGGCGTAAGGGTAAGGGAGGGCGTTGTGGATGTCGGTCATGGGGAGGTGTGAAAAGGGTTCCGGCACGGGGAGGGAGAGCGGGGACAAGTGGTGGGTGCCGTTGAGAAGAGGTAAGAGCGAGGAGGAAGACATATCAGTGTAGAGGAAAGGTTTGGTGAGGAAGTTGGGGAGAGGTTTGGGTCTCGACAAGCGTTCCTTTATAGATTCCTTTCCTTCTTGTTTGAGCGAGTAAGGACGGTGGTGCGGTATAGGTTTGAGTATCGTAACGACAGCGTTCCAGGTGAGGATTGTGTATTGGGCTTTGTCTATTGTGGTGGTTCCTGCTTGGATCACCGTCGTTTGTTTGGCCATGCCAAACCGCGATTCGTCTGCCTTTGCAGTTCCTGGTATGCTTGAGTACGCCAATTCGCGCTGTCTGAGGGTTTGCTCTGTGGCTTCGTCCAAGACCGTTCCGAATAGGTCTTGCTTGGAGAAGTGTCCGTGGTTGCCTTCTGACTCCTGACGTGTGAGTCCGTTCGTTCCCGATTAGGGTTACTCGATCGTTTGCTTGTAGTGGATGTCCGCGAGGATCCTTGATCGAGTTCCTTCGTCTGTGCTTCTTGACGATCTGCTGATACTGCAGTCTGTCGCTTCGTCAATTGAGCGAATCGTTTGTTGACTTCTTCCATGATCCGAGGGATCGCCAATCCTGTGGATAGAAGTTTCTTCCAGATGGGGTGGTTCTGGAGTTTCTCTTTGAGCTTGGCTTTCTTTTTCAACTCCTCATCTCGTTCCGCTGCTGCTTCCATGATTTCGGATGTTTCGAATCCTGCGGCGAGAAGTTTCTTCCCGATTGGGTGGTCTTGGAGTTTCTTCTTGATGCTTGCTTCTTTTAACGTCATTAGCTAGACGTCTGCGGCTTCTTTGATTTGGGATGGCTTGAATCCCCTGTCGATGAGTTCTTTCCTGATGAGTCGACCTGTGAGTTTCTTTCTAAATTGGTCGTTCTTGAACTTCTGATCCAGTTCTCGTGCTGCTTTCTGAATTTGTTGTACGCTGCATCCTTTATCCATAAGTTTTCTCCCGATGGGGAGTTCCAATAGCTTCCTCTTGATTCGATCTTCTTTGAGTCGATCGTTTAGTGCTTCTTCGATTTGGGGAATTCCCACTCCTGTGGCGAGAAGCTTCTTTCCGATAGGATGCTTTCCGAGCTGCTTCTTGATCTGATCTTCTTCGACTGCTCGATTGTATTCTAGTTCGATCGTTAATGCTAAGATCGATGCTTCCATTCCTTTGACTGCGGAGGGATGTCGTTTATAGAACTCCGCGATGGCTTCCTTGGCATTGGTGACATTTGCCGCTGATTCCCAAGAGTTATCCGATTCTGGATAGCCCTTCCATTTGATCAGGTACTGTAGAGTCTTCCACCTACCAAAGCGTCGGGCTCCGATGATCCTCTTGACTTCGAATTCTTCTTGCCCCGCTATCAGGTCTGGTGCTGGTTTGGGGTAGTTGGGTCCATATGTTGTATTCTCCTTGTAGGGCGTAAGTCGACTAGCATGGAAGATGTTGTGAATGCGCTGCCAGCTGTTGGGCAGTTTCAGCTTGAAATTGACTGTTCCGATAGTGTCAATGATCTCGAACGGCCCGAATCGTTTGGGTCTTAGTTTCTCCGAGGGGTGATCTGTGTGGATGTGCTTTCCATCTAACCATACTTGATCTCCTTTCTTGAAGGGTGGTAATTCCGTTCCAAAACGGTCATGCTGTATCCTCATGGCTTCGGCTGCGATTTTGAGGCTGGCTTGTGCTTCCTTCCTAGCACGTTGCAGAGCTTCGAGTCGTGCGTCGGCGGTGGGGACGTTCGTGTTTCCTATAATGGCTGGATATGCTCTTGGTTGGTATCCGTGTAGAAGTTCGAATGGTGACTTCTTCGTGGCTGAGTGCTGGTGTACGTTGTGGGCATATTCCGCATAGGGAATGAGGTCGGCCCAGTCGTCCTGTGACGAGTTGCAAAATGCTCTGAGATATTGTTCCAGTTCTTGGTTCATTCTTTCCGTGGCGCCATCTGTTTGTGGATGATATGCTGTACTGAGCGCCGATTTAATTCCTAGTTCCTTGAGTAGTGCTTGTGCTACTTTTGACGCAAATTGTGTTCCTCTATCCGATATGATTTTGTCGGGTAGTCCATATCTTCTCCAGGTGTGGTCTAGTAATATTTGGGCAGTTCCGTCTGAGTCGATGTTCTTTAGACATGGGGTGATTATGGCTGCCTTCGTGAATCTGTCTGTTACCACGTGGAGTGAGTCAAATCCTTTTGACTGGGGTAGATCTGTAATAAAATCCATAGTAATTGTTCCAAATGGTCGGTCTGGAATCTCCGTTGGTTGGAGAGGAACCATTGTTGGGTGTGTATCGTTCTTGGTAGACTGGCAGGTTGCGCATCCTTCCACGTATTGGTGGATTGTGTTCGATATTCCGGGCCAAGTGAATTCTTGTCCTACTGAGGCTAACGTCCCTCTTTGTCCTGGATGTCCTGCTGCTAGGTTGTCATGGTTCAACTTGATTATTTCTCTGCGTAGTTGTTCGTCTTGAGGAACATAGATTTTTCCTCTGTGTAGAACGAGTCCGTCTTCCTCGTTCCATTCTTGTAGGCCTTTCTTCATGCTTCTTGGGCCTAGTTCCTGTATTTTGGCTAAAGTCTCGATTAGCCACCTGTCCTTCTGGTTTGCTGCTATAATTCGGTTCTTGAGGTCTTCGTCAATGATTGTGACGCCTCCTCTTCCTGTGGCTCTGATGTGCCATATCTCGTGGGGGTCTAGTTCTTTCTCTGTGGTAATTGCATTGATGTCTGCGAAAGGTCGTCGTCTCTTTTCCTGTGTTTGATTGAAAAGTTTGGGTTCCAAGAGCGTTTCGCCTGAATTGTCAAATTCCACCCCCTCTTTATGGTCTGGACGCCGTGACAGACCGTCGGATTTATTGGTGACTCCCGCCTTGTGCGTTAATTTATAGTCAAAACGCGAGAGGAACAACGACCATCTTGCTTGCCGACGGTTCAACTTTTGACTTGATCTGAACCATTCTAGGTTCTTGTGGTCCGTCCAGACATCTACCGGGTTCTCGGCGCCCTCCAAGTAATGTCGCCAAGCTTCAAAGGCTCGAACGACCGCTAGCAACTCTTTGTCATAGATTGGATAGTTGCGTTCTGTGGGTGAGAGTGATTTGGAAATATAGGCACAAGGGTGCCATTTCCCATCTGGGGCAACTTGTGATAATACTGCTCCTGTGGCAAAGTCTGATGCATCACATTCAATGCGGAAGGGGTTCCTAGTTTCCGGCATGACTAGTACTGGGGTTGATATAAATATCTTCTTGAGTGCTTGGAATGCTTCTTCGCATGCTGCTGTCCAGTCCCAGCTATGTTCCTTCTGTGTTAACTCGAATAGCGGCCTAGCTATCTTCGAGTAATCCTTGATAAATCTGCGATAAAAATTGCAGAATCCTAAAAATGATTGGACCTCCTTGACTTTGGTCGGTGTGGGCCAGTCCGTGATGCCGGCCACCTTGATTGGGTCCATTTCCAGATGTCCATGGGATATAACGTATCCCAGATAGTCAATTTTCTTCTTGTGAAAATGACACTTCGAGGGTTGCAGGTATAAGTCGTTATCCTGCAATATCTGTAAAACCTGTTTCATAGTCTTGATGTGTTCGTCCATAGTTTTTGAGAACACCAAGATATCGTCCATATAAATGGCCACTCTTCCTGCATAAATGAGGTCCTTGAAGAGCGAGTTCATCATGGTTTGGAATGTCGCCGGCGAGTTGGTGAGTCCAAAGTACATGACCAGTGGTTCATACATTCCTAGATTTGTTACGAATGCTGCCTTGTGGACATCTTTTTCGTCGATGAGTACGTTGTTATATCCTGTGTCGATGTCCACTAGCGAGAAGTATTCCGCCTCTGTCAAGAGATCCAGTAATTCTTGAATAATCGGTAGAGGGTACTTGTTCTTGATTGTTATTTCGTTAAGCTTCCGGTAGTCCATTACCGGCCGTAGCTTTCCATTTTTCTTCTTGATAAAGAAGAATGGTGACGCCATGTGTGACTTGGATTCCCTGATGAATCCCTTCTTGAGACTTTCATCTATGAATTTCTTGAGCTCTTCTTGCTCCATTGGGCTGAGGCTATAAAGTTTCGGCCTAAGCGAGTGTTCTAAATTGTCTTTGAGTTCTATCTTGTGATCCCATGGCCGTTTGGGAGGTAGTTTCCCAGGTTTTCGTCCTTCAAAAACCTTCCTATAATCCCAGTATTCTTTGGGTACGATTTCTTCGAAGGATAATTCGGGTTTTCCTTTCGAGGCCTCTTCTGCCAATTTCTGCGAATTGGTGTGTTTTGTTTGTTTGCCTACCGCTGCTTTGGTAGGTTCTGCTTTATGTGCCGGTGTATTGGCAGCGGAGGTTTCCATGCGATGAATGTCATATCCTTCTTTGCTGTCGTTGTATAATTCCAGGGCTTCTAGCTGCCCAGTATCCAGGCATCTGACGAGGTATACTCCATCTTCGTCTAGATCCGTAGAAGGTAGAGCCGATAGCGGTCCACCACCTTCTTGAGTCTCCTCTTCGGCCCACGTTGGTGCCGCGTAATGTTTGGCTTGGGTCCTGAGGTAGTACTCCAGTTTCGTTCCTTTGGGTTGCGAGCCCCGGATTTTAGGTAGTGTTTCCCACTTTCCGGCCTAGCTGTCCTTTCCCTGGCTTCTGCAATGGGATTGAGTAGTCACGCTCTCGTGGTACTGTCACCATGCGCCGTATCTCTGGTTCCTGACGTCCTGATTTCTTAAAGGCCCTTTTTGCCTTGACTGGTCCTCCTGTGATTTTGCAGGACGGTGGGCACCTAGTAAAGTGCAGTCCATATGCGTGCCAATCGACTTCTGGGTTGTGTTCCAACAACCAGTCGGTTCCTAAAATGACGTCTTCTTTCCCGATTTCGGCTATATAGAATTTTGCCGATTCGGTGTGTGTTCCCCCCTGTTCGCCTAGAACTCGTAGTTTTAGTTCTGCGAATCTCGTGATCGGTCCTCCTTTAAATTCCGTGTTTTGGACCGTATTGACTGGAATGGGGTGGGGTGTTTTCCTTGTGTAGATTCGATGCTGTTCCACGAATTTGGGATGCATGAATATTCCTGTTGCTCCGCTGTCGACCAGAGCCTGTGTAGCAGCTTTTTGATTCTTGCCTATGAGTTCCGTCTCGATCCGAAGTGATGGTGCACCATGTGTTTTCATTTCGGAGAGATACAATATTTCTGGATGTCCATGCTCTTGGTCAGCGTCATTGCTGGCCAGCGGAGCATACCTATTTCCTGCAAGAATCCTACTCTTCACACCCGCTGCCGGTGGAAGAGACCTTAAAAATCCTTTGATTCGCTGTAAGCGCGTACTTCAGCTATTTCGTCTGGGTTGAGTCCCATCATTATTTGTTTGACGTGGGCCACTCCTGGTCTGCTTTCTTCCTGATATTCTTCATCTTCCTCTTCTCCTGCTTTCATGGCCCTCATAGTACGGGACTGCGGAATGAACCTTCCTCTTGAAGGGGGATAGAATCTTCTTTTGGGTCGAGAGGGACATCCACGCGCCATGTGCCCGGGCTTCTTGCAATAGAAGCACTTTCCTTCTTTAGCGAGCCGGTTCCTTTCTTCCGGCGTAAGTTTCTTGAAGCGGATGGCCTCGACTTCCAATTCTGCTGCATCCACGTCCATAGGGACATATTGGGATTCCCTTTCTTGACGTGGGGTTGGGGCGAAGTTTGAATAATAATTTGTTGGGGTGAAGACTTGGTATTTTCCTTGCCTAAGGTCCCGTGCTCGCATTTCTTCTATGCGCATTGTTTCGTGTCTTTTGGCCTTGGCCACTAGTTCATCCCAGGTTGTCTGTGCTGCTGGGTCCTGATAAATTCCTCGGGCCAATTCCCATTTTAGACCCCGTAAGAAGTACGTCTTCTTGGTTTCAAGATCAACCCCTGCTAGTTCGGCAATTTGCTCGAACAGTTGGAGGTACGTGTTAAAGGATTCCTTTCCTTGGTTGATCCTAGCCAGTTTGTCTCTGGCATCTGCTGTCTTGTCAAATTCCTCGAAGTCCGTTGAAATCTTCTGGCGGACTGAGGTTATTCCTGTAGTGGGTTTCCATGCATAGAGGTCCCAATCGTTGTTCGTGTTTCTGGCTTTAGTGAAGTTCCTCGACCATATTCCGGCTGATCCTCCTTTCATATAGGATAGCGCGTATGCTATTTTTGTAAATTCGTCCGGGAAATCGTATTTCCTGGCGAGGATCATTAGGTCGATTTCGTGGAGGAACTGCTCTGTTCGTTTTCTGTTTCCGTCGAAGGGCGTGGGCTTGGCCATAGCCGGTCCCTTGGACTCAGGATTTCTAGGATTTGTCGACATCTCACTGGACGGGGACTGGTGATCGTCAGGAGGCTCTCCACCTGTATCTGGTTCTTGAGTATGCTCTTCCCGGGTACTTTCGTCCGGTGAAGGGGTTCGGAAGCTTGCTTGTGGAGAGGTTTCTTGTATCGGGGACGTAACGGGCGTGTTTCTTCGAGAGATTCGACTTCCACTGGTTGCTTCCCTGGGTACGTTATAAACGTGTGGTCTCGGTGAGTTACGATTCCGACTTGTCGGTGATTTAGGCTTGATTCTTCTGAGCTCTGCTGCGACGATTGCGAGCTTAGTGGTCTGTAATTCGGGTGCAGCGTGGATTTCCTTTCCGAGGAAGGGTCTTTTGTAAAATTCTTCCTTCCCGCTTCCTGTGTAGAATCCGGTGAGGATTCCTCCGATGTAGAAGTGTCTGTTCTCTTCGTCACAATAAACGGTGTCTGGGTCAACGTCCTCGGGTAGATGTTCGAAGATGTAGATCGGGTTATTGTGGTACGGGGGCGGGTATCCCTTTGGTACTGTTGGCTCAATTGTTTATTCTGTGAAGAAGAAAGGGATTTCGTGTCTTCTTCCGGCCCTAAGTCCTTCTTGGAGTGTAGGTTCTCTTCTGATAATTTCGTTAATCCCGTTGTTGATCTGGTCCAAGAGTGTAAGGATCTCGTCAAAGGTTTGTCCGGCGATGACGTTTCTGAAATGATAAGTTTTGTGGGCGAACTCTCCTCGTCTGATAACTGATACGGTTCCAATGATTTCTGTTCGATGGGGTGAGTATCCAATAGGATCCAGCGTGTCCTAGTTCGGGATGGTGTAGGTCCAAAAGATGAAGATTGTGTATTCGTTTCTTCGGTGACTGTTCTCAAGTAATTCCTGTCTGATTCCTCCTGAATCGACGTCTTTGGTGATGTGTTTCCTAAGTGCTGCGATGTGTTCTGCTGGGAAGTTTCCAGATCTTCCGTCGTCAATGTCAACGGTATTCCTGGTGTGAATAAAGTTGAGTCCTGGATCTCCCACTGCGGAGACTGGTGTTCTGGGTTCGTTGGTGAAGCAAAGCCCCAAAAAGGGGAATCCGATTCTTCCGATGAAGAAGTAATCTTGTATCTGTTGTAGCCGGTATGAAGCTACTCCTGCGTATACTCTTCCAGTTGCCGAGTATCTGATGTGGGTGCTGGTTTCTGTTAACTTGGGTGTTCCTTCGCGGGGTGCTTGGTTAATTCTGGTTGCTAAAATGCTGCTGCGATTTCTTTCTTCTAGCAGTTGTTGTGCTGCTGCTGCTAGTGACTGTATTCGGTATTGTTCCAGTTTGCTCTTCAAGGCAGGGAATAGAAGAGCTCGTTCAAGTGTTAAGCTGGCTAGGCTTAGTCGCGTGCACGTGATGCACTAAGAGGGGTTCCCTGGGCTGAAGCTGATTGTGACGGCCCAACGGATAAAGACGACGGCTCGTCTTTGGGCTTGTTCCAAGAAAGGCTGGTTTGTATTGATCCTCTCCTCGAAGAGTCGAAGGAGATGTTGATTGATTACGTGGCGGTGTTCGTCTGGTACAAACAAGTCCTCTCCAATGCAACAGATGACTTCGGAGGGATCCCAATGGATGACTCGATATGTGGCGAGTCCTTGATAGGTTGCAGGCGGTAGAGAATGATAAGAGCGACGAGACGAATCCAGTGCGTCGTCAGACTGAGTATGGTTCTTTAGATCTGACAGAGATCGCGAAGCGTGAGCTGAAGGTAGCCAGACGCCGGGCGCAGTGCTGAGATCAAGATGTATACAAAGTGAATGAGCTGAGGCTTCTAAGAAGCTCAGCTCTCCTATATATAGTACAGGGCTATTTAGGGCGGAACGGACATATGGTCCGTGCTTCTAAACGCTAAGTACTATCAACGATCGATGCATGTAATCCGCAGTCGTCGTTCGTACTCCGCGGCTCTTGGATGTAGCCATGTATGGTAAGTATATCAAATGTCTGTCCGCATCAATAAGCAATCAGGAACCGATCACGATCGCCATCAGTAAGCACAATAAGAAAGGGGTCATAGTACAGTAAGCGTTCATGCATCAGCATGTAAATGGTAAGCAGTCCGAGTCCGAGTCATGTGTGTAGCTCATGACCATGTCCTGAGTCACGTGCCTAGACGCGTGTCAAGTCACAGTCCTAGTCGTTAATAGTTCGAGTCCAAGGGAACACCTGACCTTCCCTTCTGTCCACGTGCCAAGCACGTGTTAGGACACGGTCCTAACATAGAGTAATACCCAAGACATGTTTCTGCCAAATTAAGTTATCTTCCTTGAGCAGATAACACAGTGGTCAAGTAAGGATATTATTGAGAACCACAAAGATAGAACATACTCGATTATTAAGGCATATGGATATTCCTAGAGTGATTCCCGGCTATAAGAGTATATAAAAGGTGCTTATTCTATGAGAATATAGCTTAGAAATGACAAAATTCATAATAAATATTACTTAAAATAATTTGTATGAGCCTTGTCATTGGCATTGGTAAAATATTGTCTATCACAGGAGAATTTAAGAGCTTTGATGAATCAACGTGGTTAGTAATGATTTGATCTAAACAATATCAAATTCTTGAGTCAAACATCCTGAAGCCTCAAGTTTATACAATGCCACAATATACATAAGGCACAGATATAAGAATGTGCTTACAACAATGCTGTGATTGGGTCAATCACTGTTGCAATGACATTACCAGTATTCAAGCCCAACTGAACCATCTTTAACTAGTTATGTACCCAAATAGTCAAACAACATGATAGCTAGAGTGCCATAAGCTATATATGCAATCCCTTGCCTAGATGTTAGCAAAAAAATTAAACTCGTGTATTCTTTATATTGCTTATTTTTATAGATGCAGTTTGAGCTTAGAGCTATTGGCATTAAATATATCAAGTACACTGAAGGCTGCTCACACATATTTTACATATGCAGCATAATAGCTTAGGCCAGCATACATAAGGTAGAGTTTAGGAATCCTATAAAGAATTAAATATGACCCACTAAAAAGCCATCTCTATTGAGCTTAACATTGAGTGTGATAAACTTAGCCACTGTATTGAAAAAGAAAACATAAGACTTAAGAAAAATGCTGCCTTGGAAAAGGACAAATAAAGAAAGAAAATAAATAAGTGACATCTTTGAGGATCATATGTACATAACCTTATATTACTTAACAAGCAATATATAGGCTGAGCACATCAATGTAGAAAATGCACAATGTACTAGGCCTAGTGAAAAACACATATACAGCATAGGAATAACATAAGATAAGTTGGCTTAGGAGCCCAATATGATGCCCATTTCACTACAAATTTAGGTAAAAGGCCTTCTCACTAGTCATTCTCAATGGTCCCTTGATTGAAACCCTGGGAAACCTATTCATATAGTAGGTTGGGCTGAATATTGGGTTGAATATCTGTGCATAGAAATCCAAGTACTTAGATAGCAGTGAAGCACTGCTGTATGTTTGCTGTCACCATTATGTCTAGGAATAGAGCTAGTATTGAAAAAGATGGAATGAGATACTGAGAGTCATTTGCTTAGAGGGATCAAGCAAATAAATCATGCTGTAAGGTTACATACCTGGAATTTTTTGCAAAATAAAGCTTCCAATATACCAATATCATATGTGAAAGAATTGTAATCTAACTTCCCCTACATAGTATTGAAGGGTTGCTGTACAAATATTACCCAACTTTGCCTTGCATCAAGATGATTTATGGTAGGGTAACCATGGATAAGCCAAAGTTATTGATCACATAGATAATGCAATCATCATGGATCAACTGCTCCTATTTGTTGTAGGTGGTAAAGTATCAATTACAACCAAAGTAATTTAGAAGTATATTGTTATCTTTGATATCCTGACCAGTTGCTATTAGTATATGAATATACTGTGATGCAGCATTAACCTACTTAATGGACAATCTAAAGGTCATGGAAAAACTTCATGTCCTACACAAGAAAGCTCTGAACTATAACTGTACAAAATATTGATAAATAGACCTCTAGCAGGCATTCCATATATTGTAGGCAATATTCCATATTTATCAAAGGAAGGTCTTTGCTTATTACCACATCCCATCTAGCATTCATACAGTTAAAAATGCAGAGATTAGTTTTGTGGAAAAGTTGACCTTGGCATAAGCATAATTCAGAGATCTCTACGTCTTAGAAAACCAAGTATTGGTACAATACTAGAAAACTAATATATAGAAGACAGTATGCTTTGGCTGAGTAGTCAAAAAATTCAATGCTCTTCAAAATTGTCTTGGACAAGTTTCATAACCACACTTCATCTCTGCTCATCTTGTGTATATGATATGCATAGCTATATAGCCATTAAGTGCCAACTGAGTTCAGTGATAAGTACATACATATGTGAATTTCAGTAGCCAAGTATAGGAAATCACTATTAGATTTCTTATCACTACTGAAGTGAGTATATGAGAGCACTGTTTCCTCACTAAGCTCAAAAGTTGGCATGGGACAGAATGGAATTAGCAGGTTTGATGATGGGTGGTAATTGAGTTGATATAATGTGTATTCTCTTGTATAAAACCAAGCTCTCTTAGTATCCTAGAATATAATGTGTTTATACCTATAGTCTGCACTCTAAAGATTCAAAGGAATCTAAAAGGAATAAGTTATTAAAGCATGGCAAGAAATATGATAGGAGACGTGCTTTGAAGTTTTCCTCCAGATTTTGCATGTTAAAAGGACTGCTTATATTGCTAATCAATCTGACATAGGAGCCATGTTACTAGTTGCAGCAGATCTGCAGTCAAGGATTGATGGCATGTGAAAAAGACATTGCATGTGCAAGGTCACTTAGGCAAGCAAATCAAAGGAGTACTTATAGGCTATTGTGTCTGTCTCACTCTACCATTAAGCATCTCACTCTACTGAGACATATCTGAGAGTGGTCTTCCTTTAGGAATGTGTTCTTCTCCTTTATCCTCCTAATGAGTGGATTTCTAAGAGCAATGTTCCTCTAGAAATATGTTGGTTATAGGCCATTATTGTGTCTGTCTTACTCTGCCATCAAGTGTTGCACCACTATTAAGACACCTCTGGGAGTGGTCTTCCCCTAGCATGTCATATCTATTTATTCTTCTATTGAGCAGCTTTCTAAGAGTGATATTCCTCCAGAAATGCATTGCTTATAGGTTGTTGTTGTTTACATCTCACCCTCTGGCCATAGTCCAATAGTGGTGGGTTTTTTATGGCTGTCAAAACACACATCTAAGAGTATTCTTTCTCCAGCAAGTTATATCCATTTATCCTTCTAACAAGCAGCTTTCTGAGAGTGATGTTCCTCCAAACATGCATTGCTCATAGGCCATAGTGTCTGTCTCACTCTGCTATCAAGCATTGCATAACTTCTGAGACACATTTGAGAGCAGTCTTCCTCTAGAAATGTGTTCTTCTCATTTATCCTTCCAAAAAGCATCTTTTTGAAAGTGATCACAACACAAATCCCACTATGCTTGCAGAAGCCCCACAGACACTGCTTTTGAGTTTGCTAAATGGAAAAACAATGCACTGCCTTGAAAGTGCACATTGATTATTTGACATATGAGAATATCATTGGGAATATGCATCAGGTATGTTATGTCCTTAACTACCATCCATTTGCACTTGCATTCATTTGCTCACCATACTCACTCACCATTCACATTTGCATTCTTTCTTATACCCTTTCATGCTTCATGTTTTGTTTGTGCTTATATTCCTCCTCTCATCCTTACCACACATCACAACTCACTCTTAATTATAAACTCCAAATACACTTGGTATTATCTTAAAGTCTTAACCTCATTCCATATTGACACACTATAGGGCAAGATCTGATTTTTCTTCAGACATCATTTGCCAGATTATAGGTTTATTCAATCTATTCACATAGAATTGTAAGTTTTTTGTTGTCTTTTTTGTCACATCCCTGATCTGCAGCCACAGCTTTGATATTGATGCTAAGGGCCATATTGGCACTGTTAGGAGGAGGAAAGAGGTAGGAAAGAGAGATAAATAAGCAGTGAATTCAGAGATATATGTAAGGGGGATAAAAAGAAAGAAAATTTTGTACAGTTTACAGGTCTGGGTTTGCAGGTATGGGTCTGCAGGTATGGGGTCAGAATTTACATGGCAGAGAGAAGATGTCTCAAGGGGACCCTATAGCACAGTATATTGATTATACTCTCATCAATTTCAAGAAGCTAATAGGATATAACTCAAACTAGAATGCTATCTCAAGTTGTCCAGCCAGTTTTTCCTCAAGCAATCAGTAATGTATAGTGTTCCTTCAGTGTGCCTTGCTAGTCATTTGGTTTGGCTTCAACAGTTTGTGTTTCCATATGCTGGCTAATATGCCATCTTATGCTGCAGGTACACAAGTTCTTCAATGTTCCAGGCTTCCTAATATGGATTTTCTGGCTCTTCAAGCTCTTGCTCTTAGCCACCACCCTCACAAAGATCCAGGTCTCTAGGAGCGGCACACATGCCATTAGAACAGAGCTGTGGTTATACTTGCACTACATAATGATAGAAGCTCCCTACTTTACCCTAATCACCCACATACCCACTTCCCTCACATTTCATTTCCTGTCTAGTAGTTGAAGGTAGCATCCACTTTACCCAACTAGCTTATCTATGACAGTCATCTGCCCCTCTTCATATAAAGGCTTGACCAGGGAATCAGGTTGTCAATATCTTGCAGAGTACATTTCATTTGACCTACTCCTTTTACTAAAAGACACCCCCAAAATGCATATGGACCTCTATTATGTCTAGTGGTTGATGTGTACACCATGCGTCTGGCCTTTTGCATGGGCTATGTTAGGTGCAATAGAGGACTAGTGCAGGGTCTGGCCTGTATGACCACAGGCCCTTGTCAAGCCTTTAGGCTTGTCACATTGTCATGCTCGCACATTATTAGGCATAAAATACTAATGGTAGAATGGAGGGCAGAATATCGGACTAGAGGGAAAAGAAAGGAAATGACCTAGAATGGAAAGGACATTTAATTTTGATTTTCTATATATTTTTCGAGTATTTTACCACTTAAACTTGATTCCCTATCCCTTTTCATACTTATAATTCACTTTTGGGACAGATTCCAGAGCCTAGGGTCTATTACAGAAAGGGCTAGATTATAGCAAGATAATAAGGAATGAAAAGAAAGCAGTGGAATCTGGTAGAATAGAGAGGAACTTTAGTAGAAGGATGGAGAAAGTTTAGGAAAGGGGCAAGGTCTAGGGCATTTCAAGCTGAAAGGAGGGGAAGGTTCTGAGCAGTTCTGAAGGAAGCTGAAGGAGCATTCTACCACATTCTGAGCCTTTCTTTTGCTTTCCTTTCTGTTCCTCTGCTTTCCTCTCTATTCTTTTTATTTTTACAGCATTCTTTGTGACTCACAATGACTCTACTCAGCCTGTATATACTAGGAAGGAGATTCCCACTTGAAATAGTATATAAGGAGGCTGATTGTCCTGCTTCAGGCAGAGACCATCTCTCCCTCTTACTTTTACTCAGTCAGTTAGTGCCAGTCAATACATTCTCTGAGTGATATCAGTTGGAGATAAGCTTCAAGACTTGTAGGGATACTAGACAAACTAGTAGCTCGCCTTCAATCTGTGTAGCACCTCAGCAACTTGAATCAAAAAGTTCTTAAGCCTCTTCTCATTATTCTCAACATTTACAGAGTATTGTCCTTATTAGTGGTCCAGCACCACTTCAGAAATTCGCTAAATGGTTCAGGATCCTCTCATCGTTGCCTATAACTGTGACGAACTTCTGTGTATTGTGCCAACACCAGAAGGTATCATCTAGAACAGCAATCAAACAAACACTAGGTACATCTGGAAAAACAGGAAACCCCAATTGTATTTAGGAGTGAAACCATTCCTCACCATGACAATGTGCTTAATGCACTAAAAGGGGTTCCCTGAGCTAATCGTGATAGCCTAACAAATTGTCATGAATGGCTGTTCAGGATGAGAGATTTCCTAGTCCACAAGCCAATACTTCCAGAGAAGAGATAAGATAAGAGTAATGGATGTGAAGAGATGAAGCTGATCAGACCAATGCTTGAGAATAAGGGAAGACTGGTTTAACAGCAGTTCCTAGATTGGACAGAGGTGGATAGCCTAAGGCTTCCCTACTGTGCCGCAGCTGCTATAAATATGTACAAGCGAGAGCACAGACCAAGTAACAATGGATCAGGAACGTGAGGTATAGTCAGGATAAAGGTCCTATGTGTCCTTATATAGATTGTGGGAAAGACAAGAAGGATATAGTAGGTGTTTCATAACATTACCCCCCCTTCTAGGCCATCAGTGCCAGAGACGGTAAGTAAAAGAGTTCAAGAAAAACATAAGCAATGCATGTAAAGTCTGTTACAATCATAGGAGAATAATACTTAGGGCACTGATTCTTGTTGCCCACTGCCAAGCTATGGCGCAATAGCCCTTGAGTATGAACGCCATAGTACCTCACCTCGTTAGAACCATGTAGGGACTGCATCTTAGAGCTGAGTCCCTCTTCTTATCATGGCAGTGATTACTGGCCCAACAGATTCAAACTGTCATCTGCCCTGGCAGTTTAACATTGTACCAGACAATCATCTGTACTTTTTCAGAGGGTACGGCGGTGGTTGATGAGGAGGAGTGTGTCAGAGTCACTGGAGTTGTATTTGATGACAGGGGGTTGGGTGCGAGAAGGCGGGTGTCAGAGGCTGAAGGTTAAGGGTATGGCTTGAAAGCGAGGGGAAGGACATGTGAACCGATAGACCCCTCTGTCCGTGCCATCAGGATAAGTCCCCGGCATCAGGCAAAGCAGACCTCCATTTGAAGCCAAAGATAAGGCATGAGATACCACAGCCGTGGACGGCATATAGTATTCATTGGCAGGAGCGGGGTCTGTTATGATCACGTTCTGTCGGGCCTTAACGGCGGTCTATTCCGACACGATCATCACAAATATCAAGCGGCCTCACAAGGTGAGGCGTACAAACAAGGTACAGATAGTAACCTTGGTCATCCACTCCCAACGGATCACCTTATCGTTGGTCGAGTATCACGGGCCTATTGCGTAGCGGGCATGGAACGCCGCCTTACAAACTACTCACACGACGGGCATTAACCTCCTAGTCTTTCCTCGCCGGAAGGAGACGAACGGAGAAGCACAAGAGTAGTCGTTATTGAGAGAGACAACTTAGAGAATACCGACGGATACATATACGGTATTCTCACGCCCTATTTCCTAAAGTAGTATAAAAGGCCCATAGAGTAGGCTGAGGTTCTTCAGTCTATTCTCTTCGTTCGTTGTGGTCTTCCTACCACAGCACCTTCATTCTTAGGCAGTCTCCCTACTGTCTACAGTTGCTACATCACAATACACTCCTGGCTCCTGTGCTACATGTACAGTCGGGACCATCGTTCCACACATCCTCCACGAGTGACCTAGGGAAGAACCTCCTACTCTTGGGGTTACCGAACGAGCAGTTCGTAACACTAGAATAGACTCTTCTGCCCCTACCTTGCTTGCACTAGCTTGCTGCCACACTCTCTCTCATAACCTTGCTCAGTGGGGACATAGACCCCCATTGAGAAAGTGTTACTGCACACACTCTGGAGCAAGACCTAGGCCAGGAATATCCACCCGGCACTAGACGTATCAATAACCAACTCCGTCACAACAATCGCCCTATCCGGCGTGAAGGGGACTTCTGGCTCTACGAAGACAATAACAGATTCGCCCTTCTGAATTACAATAACTGCTCATACCGAAACGGGCGTTATTACTTCACCCTTGAAGACGGAACAGAAGAAGAGGATATTTGGAACGAAACAGAAGCTCAGTGGGAACTAGCCCCACAATACAGGGAACCGGCGCCGGTAATCCCCGAAGACTCGGAGCAAGAGGAAACAACCTCGGAATCAGACTCCGACTCACCAAAACAAACACCGATCAACACCCGAAACGAATCATTCGCCGACATGTCGGGACAAGCTTTGACTTCTACAGACCCCCCTTCCGCGACAGTACAACCTGGAAGAGGAAAGGTCAAACTCCCAGACAACTACACAGGCAACCACATTGAATCCCAGAAATTCATGCTCCAATGACTCCTTCTTTTTGCAGCAGAATCCGGTCGGTACAAGACCGATCAAGACAAGATATCCCTTGTGCTCTCATGCATGAGATATGGCACGGCAGGAGCTTGGGCCGAGAACTTCCTCCTTAAATCAGTAGGGGCGGACCCCCCCACTGATCTAGGCACCTGGAGGGACTTCCTAACAAAGTTCAAACTCCAATTCAGGGAGACAGGCAAGACCAATAAAGCGCGAAGCGCACTCATGGCCTTCTCCCAAGGATGAATGACGGTTGATGAATATTCCAACCAATTCATCCTCATTGCCGCCGATGCCGACATCTCCGACAAGGAGCAAGTCCCTTACTTCCAACGCGGGTTAGACCCGCGCATCATGGACAAAATATATGACAAAGAAGTACAACCAAAGGACACCATCTAGGACTGGATCAATACCGCCTGCGAAATAGATGGACGGCTTAGAGCAAGATCTGCTCAAAAGGCCATCCTCGCCAACTCCACCTCCTTCCACAGCGACTATCTAAACCGTTTCCACTCCCAACCTGCTATCCGCTATAACTCCACAAATGCTCCTCGAAAAATAAATAATCAGGTGGTCGATATGGACATCGACGCTACCAGGAAGCGTAACGCCCAAAGTCAAAAGAGAAAATTTGACGGCAAGCGAACCACCTCTTGTTCGAATTGTGGAAAGATAGGACACTCTAGCACTAACTGCTGGTCGGCCCGCAGAGGCGTTCCACTAGTTCAAGGAAACTCGAAGAGATGCTTGGGTACGACAGGGAGAGGAAACCGCGCGGTTGATCTGGAGGGAGAAGACGACGCACCCGCTATGGGAAACCAAGCGGGAATATATTGAGGAGTGGAGACAGAGGATGTCCCTCGCAATGACCAGCGGGTACCACAACCTGGTCCTTCAATGGAACGTCCTTACCCTGCCCCATCCGGACGACCCCAAAACAACCATGGGCAACGCGCTATGTTACCTAACGGACGACAGGGAGACGGAAGCGTCAGTCATTCTGCTCGAATCGGAGCAGTACTAGGGGAATTAGGAGAGGATGAAGCAAGAGAAGTAATCTTGGGACACGCGGAGCGTTTTTCCTGACCTCTCCCTCACCAGCGAAGGAGAGAGGTCAAGGACGACCCGAGTTTGACGCCCGCACTTGTATTCGTATCGGAGCAATGAACGACCGTATCATCACTCCCATACGTCTGAGCGTGAAGGTATCAAACAGGAGTCAATACGCTGGAGCAAAGGCAACCATCGACTCGGCATGCGAAGGGGTTATAGCAAACGAAACTTGGGTCAGGAGACATCGTTTCCCCACCTATACACTCAACAATCCCATTCGCGTCCGGAACGTCGATGACACCATTAATAAAGCAGGTCTCATCCGATCTGCCTTGGATGTGAACCTCACCATTCGGGACATCAGAGGACGAACGCACACTGAACGTGTCCAGATGTTTATCTCCAATCTAGGGAAGGACGACCTTATCCTCGGAACAGATTGGTTGAAATACCACGATCCCTCCATCGAGTGGAGGTGACGTGAAGTGCACTTTGATCGGTGCCCCCAGAAATGCCAGCAACCACATGGGTTCACTAGGGCAAGGGAAGAACCGCAAAACAATAGGCAGTTATCAGACGTGGAGCCACGGCACAAACCACGCATTAATGAGCGCGAAAAACAGCGCCTAGAACATCTCCAAAGACTATCGGAAGATGTAGGACTCCGCGATCATAGCGGAACGTTTGGTGTCCAACTACGAGCATACCTCAAAAGAAAATGGCTCCTACAGGACATAAGGAATTACGCAGAAGAGAAACGAAAGGCTCAAGCCAAACCATCTCTTTCACCAAACGGGGGAGAACCTGATCTCCCACATAAAAACTCAGGAAAACAGGCCATAGAGGAACCAGTTATTCAGAAACTGGCTCCCGAACCGTCAGGATTTGCCAGCTTCGACCAGGACTTGGAGGACGAAATCGTCATCACCAATCTAAAGGAAAGAGTCCCCAAGGCGCATCACGAATTTTTGGACATCTTCAGCGAACGAAAGTCACAGCGACTCCCAGAACACACTTATTGGGACCACGCCATAGATCTGAAACTGACTTTCAAACCTCAAGTACCAAAAATCTATGCCTTGAGCCCAGAGAAACATGATGAACTAGGAAAATTCATCAAGGAACACCTTACTCGGGGGACCATCCGTCGATCCACCTCACAAACGGCAGCCCCATTTTTCTTTATAGGAAAGAAAGATGGAAAACTGCGCCCGGTACAGGACTACCGCCATTTGAACTCGTACACCATCCCAAATGTGTGCCCCCTTCCACTAATCCAAGAACTATTGGACGTGATCAAAGGGGCCACCATTTTCAGCAAGTTGGATGTATGGTGGGGATACAACAATATACGAATCAAAAAGGGCGACAAGTGGAAGGCAGCTTTCATCACTCCGTTAGGTTCTTACGAACCCACAGTGATGTTCTTCGGCCTTACCAACTCGCCAGCCACTTTCCAAGCCATGATGAACATGATCTTCAGAGAACTCATTACAGCACGGAAAATAACCGTATATATGGACGACATCCTCATATTTTCCAAAAACATGGCGGAACATATCCAGGTCCTGAACCAAGTCTTCCAGATCTTACGCGACAACGACCTCTATCTGAAACCAGAAAAACGCGAGTTTTATAAAGAAAAACTCCAATATCTGGGATACACAATTTCAAAAGACCATGTCGCCATGGAAGACTCAAAGGTGGATGCCATACAAGATTGGCCAATCCCACGCACCGTCCGAGACATCCGCTCCTTTTTAGGTCTAGGAAATTTCTACAGGCGTTTCATTGATAAGTTCTCCCTTATCGCACGTCCTCTGCATGACCTCACCAAAAAGGACGCAAAGTGGAACTGGACTTTGAAGTGCCAGGAGGCCTTCGAACGATTGAAAAGGGCATTTATCAGTAAACCCGTTCTGAATTACCCGGACCCCATGCATCCATATCGACTAGTAACGGATGCCTCATTAATTGCCTACGGAGCTACCCTCCTGCAAGAAGGAAAAGATGGTGATTGGCACCCAGTAGCATTCCTTTCCGGGTCATTCTCACCAGCAGAGCGGAATTACGACGTCCACGATCGTGAACTCCTGGCCATCATAAAAGCGTTGGAACACTGGAACCATTACCTCGAAGGAGCACGACACCCATTCGAGATCTGGACAGATCACAAGAATCTGGAACATTTCCAAACGGCGCGAGACCTGTCACGACGACACGCCCGTTGGAGCCTCTATTTGAGCAGATTCGACTTCACACTCAGCTATAAAGCAGGGTCAACGATGATGCGCTTGCGATGGCTCTGCGTGCGAAAACACAACACAAAACACACCACTAAACACAGGGTAGGTGGGGAGCTGACTTCACTACAAATATTGGGGGACCCTTGTGAGTTGCGGGACGGGGCGCGATATACGTACTACGAGATATCGAGATATCTAGCGAGGTGATGCAAGGTCACGCGAGAATACTCTCGTGTGAAATGAAGTGGTGGACCGTGGGCCAAGGCGCGAGTGACCGAGGCAACTTCAAGGGCAGTGACGAAGGCCCTGACAATAGCGGCGATGAAGGTGACGAGTGCTAAGGTGAGTGCGTGCGATGTCGGGGCGATGCGATACGAGCGAGATCTTCGTGCGAAGTTGAGCTCTAAACAGAGGGGTGTTCGAAACTGGTATATTGCAGTGTCGTAGGCAGATATTTATAGTAAGTCGAAGTGAGTATAGTAAACGCGAACTCGTAAGGTAAAGTAAATCGATATTGCGCCAAGACCGTGACATAGAAAGATAAAAAGAAGACCACGCGCAGAGGTGCTCACAGACCGCGAGGTTCTGTCGTGCCGCGGTCGCGAGACAAAGCGATATTTAGTAAAGAGGTGTAGCGGTGAGACGAGGTAAACTCTAGGAAGGTGGAGGGGCAATGGATCACGGGACCTGTACTACCCAATAAGCGCACGCGATAAAGCTCTCTGCGATATCGCGTCGCGGAGCTGCTCGTGGTGCGGTCCGTGCGGTCGATGCTTGCGAGGCGTATGGCGAGAGCTTGGCGAGGTCTTTGCGGGTGTAGCAGGCTCGAGGTCGTCGTGCGATACGCGTGGGGGGCTGAGTGAGATGATGCGAGGCAATGACTGGGGGGGTGTGAGACAAGACCGCGTCGGCCCGATACCGTAATGCTGAGGTCGTAGTGGGCATCGGAGGGATCGCTCTGGGCGGCGGGGCCACCCGGCGGTCTCTGGGGTATCTCCTGAGGTCAGCCTGCTCGTGCTCGTAGAACTGCGAAAAACGGGGTCCCGGCGCTTAGAGAGGTGGCGCGCTCAACAACGAATCATTCTGATGCTCTGTCCAGGCGTCCAGACCTAAGTGAGGGGGTGGAATCTGACAACAAAGCTCAAATTTTGCTCCCGGCAAACCTTTTTAACAAATCCGACGAAACACTGGTAGAACCGTCCCTAATACGGCACATTAAGTCCACGGAAATCGCATCCTCAGACCTCATTTCCCTCATCCGACTCTCAAAATCGGAACATGATGCCCTGACAAGGGTAGCCCTCGCCAAACTCTTGCGAGTAGGGCCACAAGGAATGAGAGGATTACTGGGACACTGGACACACGAAGACGGAATCACCAGACGAAACGGCCATATATGCGTCCCAAAAGATGATGCCATACAAAGACTTATTGTCAAAACGCATCACGACGCACTCACAGCAGGACATCCAGGCAGAGCCAAAACGCTGGAAATGGTACAACGGCACTATTGGTGGCAAAACATGACAAAATTCGTTCACGAATACGTGGACGGATGTGCGGTATGTCAATCGACCAAGAACTTGACACACAAGACGCACCCTCCTATCCACCCTTTGGAAACTACCAACGTCCCTTGGCGTTTCATCTCGACAGACTTCGTCACGGACCTACCCGAAAGCAAGGGTTTCGACTCAATTAACGTGGTAGTGGACCAAGGTCTGTCCAAAGGCATAGTCATCACCCCATGCAAGAAAACGATCACGGCAGAAGAAACAACCGTGCTTTTCCAGAACAACGTTTTCAATCGACATGGGTTGCCGACCAAAATAGTATCCGATCGCGGTCCTCAATTTGCGGCCTAGTTCACCCGGGAACTCTGGAAGCGGCTAGGAATCACCGCTGCTCTCAGCACGGCTTATCATCCCCAGACAGATGGAGAAACAGAACGAGTAAACCAGGAGATCGAACAGTTCCTGAGAACGTTCTGCAATTACCACCAAGATAACTGGGTGGACCTTCTGCCGTTCGCCGAATTCTTGCACAACACGCGAAAACATTCTGCCACCGGAAAATCTCCTTTCGAAGTGCTATACGGGTTCAATCCCCCTTATTCAGCCGACACTGCGCTAGAGACAAAGGTACCCGCGGTAGCTGAACGCATTAGGGTAATGACAGAAGTCCAAGAAGAAGCCGCAGCCAGCCTACAAATAGCCAGCAATTACGCCAAAGACCGGGATCTCCACAGAAAACTCCCCCAGTGGAAAGAAGGAGACCAAGTATGGCTAGAAGGAACCCACATCCGGACAACCCATCCAAAGTTCAAGCTCGCCCCTAGGAGGTATGGACCTTTCAAAATATTGGCAAAAGTAGGGACCCTGGCATACAGACTTCAAATTCCCCAACACTGGAAGATCCACCCGGTGTTCCATGCCGCAACACTCACCAAGTATAGAGAAACTGAGGCGCATGGGGAAAACTTCGCAAGACCGCTACCGGAGGTATTGAACGATGAGGAGCATTACGAAGTGGAAATGATCGTGGACTCAAAAAGACAAGGACGGGGAACCAAGTACTTGGTCAAGTGGGCAGGATACCCCGAGGCAGATAACACCTGGGAACCCTACACTCTCCTAAAAGGGACAGCGGAAGAAGCTATGAAGGAGTTTCATGACCAATACCCTGACAAACCCCGTCCGGGAACACCCTGAAAAGCGGAGGAAGAAGTCTATAAAAGAGCGATCAGAGAGCTCTAACAAATCATTCACCCCCACTTTTCTCTCAAAGTTCCTTCTCCTTCACCCAAATGCTCCTTCACGAAGACCACGATGCTTCATCACCATCCAGAAACTCCTCCCCTGATGTCGTCCTTATGGTGTCCAATCCAGACATCGGACGAGTGGATAGAGGAACCAGTCCTCACCCAAGCAATGTTGGACGAGTTGATAGAGGAACCAGTCCTCACCGTCCAGAGCCCGCCGTCGTCACCCTCACTCCACACCTCAATAACTTCTCAGATGACGACGCCGAGGACTACGCCAAGTTCAAAGAAAGGGAAAGAACTCGCCGACCGTCACCTCAGGGGGCCCCACGAAATGCATCACGGAATGAAAACCCTGATGACAGAAACCTACCGGGCTCTGACGAAGTACCAGTGGGAGTTCCACCTCCTACTACAATCGCGGCGAGCATTGGAGCTGCAGGTCCCTCGGGACTACGAGCAAGAACAACAGCTCAACTCCCAGGCCATGGAGAAACTGAATCGATACCAGTTATACAGGGAGCTACACCTCCGCCAGTACCAACTGGTGGACCGATTCCCCGCTCCATGGGAAGAACTACCCTTGGTACAGATCCTCATGCCGGAGAATTGGAGCGACACGCGGACGCGCTCCTCTAGTGAAGTACTATCTCCGCGGTAATACAAATGGCCACAGCCATGGCCCTACAACGACTCACTAACTTTGCTGCAGGGCAACCCGGGAATGAGCATAGCGACATACCTCGACGACTGGCTAGTGCCAGTCTCCAGATCAGAGGACTCGCCCTCCAAACAGACCCTGACACCGCCTCTTGGTATGAACATAACGACGGACGACCACGAGCTCTCCTCATCCATCCCGACGAATTCTCCCAGTATGTCAACAGAGAGCTCCTTCCAGCTCTCCTCTTCACCGGAGAACTGGGCGCCATCCAACCAAGTAGAACCGACCCTTTCCGCATTGTCGTCTGGAATGTACCACGTCCCGGAGAATGTCCCACGGCTGTACCAAATCCAAGAAGGACTCCGCACACGGTTGTGGAACGCCCTTCACCGAGGCCACGGGAAAGTCGTACAGCACATAGCAATCCCACGACGTCCTCCTCTCACCGGGCACGAAATTTTCCCTTATCCCATGGGGGTACCGACGAGGAGGAACCACCCGTCTATTGAAGAAACGAGGGAAGGAGGAGTCGAGGAACCCAGGCAACCCTCCGCCGCGGAACAACTACTGGCAGGAGTGTTCGACACCGGCCTGGAACGCCTCCTCCTAGTGCTCGATTTCGTACAGACGAGGGACAGAATAACCGAAGTAGCCGCAGAACTCGCCGCGCTGATTCGGAGGCTAGAAGAAATCGCTCTTGGACTCGATCCGAGCTCGATGCATGGGATGCTTTAGACGACCCCGGAAATTATGACGACGCCGATCCTTATTATTGGCCTGATGAAGGAGGCGACGGGTACCAAGGACCCTACGACTACTAGAGAAGGCCAGTTGTGGAGCGAGAGAGGGGGTAAGGAAGTTGAGGAACTCCTTCCCCACACAAGGGTCCGAAATGACCTTAAACTATCCATCGTCCGCAACGACGCAAAACTAGGATCGTCCCTTAAGACGTTAAACTGTACAACCTCGTCCGAAAGAGACATTAAACTACCCACGTCCGGAATGACGTCTAAACTATCGGACCTGCATGTCTTAAAACTGTGAAAAGATAAGAAGGCAGGGGAAGTACCTGACCATTAGTCCTAGGTTCAAATGATGGTACAAATCAAGGACAACAGCGGGCATAATTCCACGTACGACCTACGGCGGAACCTTTCACATCCTCGCTGTCAAGGAGTTAATCTGACAGATGCATCAAGCATCCCATTTGGATCCTCAGTTTTACAGGGTTTTTTCCGCATTAGGGAACCCTCTACATGACATATACTCTACTCATAGGTGTCGACAAGCCGGCTCTTTGCCTTGGTACAGCGAAGTGCCCATACATAACCGGTTGCAAGTCCGAGTCAAGAAATTATGATGCACAACTCATTAAGTGAACCCTCACAGTCAAGGTCTGACTGGTGTTTTGGGACGTCCCACTTTGGATCTCCCGTTTTACAGGATCGTTTCCGCATTAGGGGATCCTACAGCTGGCGCATGAGATGATGTAGAGAACGGGCCACCTCTACTTCACAAGTCTTCCTATAATGATGTGAGGCCATAATACATCCGGAACGATGTAAAACTACCAAAGGCTTGGTCCGCAATGACTATAAACTACTAGGGTCCGCAATGACGTTAAACTAGTCTTCGTCCGAAATGACGGAAAACTATCCTCGTCCGAGATGACGTAAAACTACCATTGACCCAAGGAGCGTGGTTGCATTCTGGTGAAGCGGGGATTTTCGGGAGGATCCACGTCGCAGAACCCTGCCTGTAAGAAGTCGAAGCGCTTCCGATATTCACTCGCTTTTTGGTAAAAGAATATCGGGTCGTCTTGGTTCAAATCCAAGCGAGGGGTCTGGGGACATGGAAGAGCAAGCATCTCTTCATGGAGCGCTCAGTCTAGTCCTGGAGTCGAAGTACAAGAAATTCCGCTCCAAGACCTAGTCAGGAGGCAACTAGGACACGTGCCTCGAGTCGAAAATCTAGTAGGAAGGGACTAGATCACGTGACTCTCGTCTGGCCTACATAGCGGAAGAACGACAAGAGCGGGCCACTCACACGGAGAAGTCTATTCCGCCATTCGTCCGCAACGACGATAAACTACGAACGTCCGAGATGACGTTAAACTAAGCATTGTTTTTCCACAATATTTGTGGCGAAACAACGTCCGAGATGACGTTAAACTATTGTCCTCTCAAGAATGAGGATCGTAATGGATATCTCGACCAGATGCCCATTCGTCCGAAATGATGATAAACTATTGTCCCTTTCCACATAGGGATTGTTCGAGGCCATTTTTGCAATGGAAATGGCGTCGACGTCCGCAACGACGGTAAACTACGGGCATCCGAAATGATGTAAAACTACCATCCCTTCGTTCTAGGGATCGTGCGTGGTGGAAATCAAGGTTATCCCCATGCGTCCGAAACGACGCTAAACTACTTGTCCCTTCAAGTATAGGGATTGTGTGTGGCAATCTTGACAAGATACCACGCGTCCGTGACAACGTTAAACTAGTGCCCCTGGACCTAGGGGTTGTCATTGATGTCCAATCCCCTGGACACCAATGCGTCCACAATGACGGAAAACTATTTGCTCCTTACCATATAGGAGTTGTGGATTGACCGCCATGCTGTCAATCGGTCCGCAATAACACTAAACTACGATGCTCCTTACCGTATAGGAGTTGTGGTTGTTGACCAAGACCATGGTCATCAACCGTCTGAGAAGACGTTAAACTACACGTCCCTTTTAGAATAGGGATCATCAGTCGACATCATTCTTGATGAGAATGTGTCGACAATGTCCGAAATGACGGTAAACTACCTTCATCCTCGGAAGGAAAAGCCTATCATAACTCGAGGGACATAGTCAGACGATAGCCCGCCTATCGCACGGCGTTAAACTGCGAGGATGCCTACCTCAAGGCATTAAACTGAGCGGTCTCCTAATATTGAGACGTTATAAGTTATCCGGTTTGATATAGTATAAACCGTTCCCATCATGCCTCAGTGGAAACCTGCGGGATAAAGTCTGGTCTAGGGCCCTATGCACACAACCGATGGAAATTCCGGCGTGCAGAAACATCTTTTTCCCACAGATATTCCATGTTGATGATGAAGAAGGTCCGCAAATGACCTAGAAGTAAACTACAAGGCAGCGCAGGGCGCCTTAATACATCCGAAACGATGTAAAACTACTGGCATCCGCAACGACGTAAAACTAGGTCATCGTCCGCAACAACGATAAACTACGGAATGTCCAGCAAGACATTTAAACTGCTAACGTGGATATATCTCGCAACCCGACAAATATATCAGCTGTGGTCTTAATGTCCATTCGTGCAAGCAAACGGGTCGATCAGGAGAAGGAGTCAGACTCCTCCTTACTCCTCACGACACCCTTCAAGTCTAATTCTCTTCACATCCTTGCCTCAAACCCAATACGCATAGTGAATCAAACAAACTCTGGATGTCGAACTAACTCACCGGAGATGAGCCCACCGTATGGGGGCAATACTGCTTGGGATTTATGGCTGCAACCTCACCGGAGATGAGCTCACCGTATGGGAGCGATACTGCTTGGGACGTTAAGATGGTAGTCTGGGGAAGTAGGCCTAAGCCTTTGTAAAGCGATCAACCTACTTGCCCGTGGACGCCATCCTCTGAACGCCAAGAGGAACAACAAAAATCACGAGGATAACGACTATCCTGGAAACACTGAGGTTTGGCCCTTGGAGAAGGAAGAAGAAGAACCTGATGACACGAATTGGAACCCACATGCTAGAGTTTCTATTCATCCACACACCACTCGCATTCATACGCCTTTCTTGATGCTGTTTCCAGAGGAGGCTGGAAGTAAGACCGCGATGGGTTTACCCGCAGCAAAAACAATCCTTACGGGTGAAGGAAGAACATCCTAGTGGCCCAGGGCTTGGAACCCCCTGCGTTATGGCCGAGAAACAAACAGCTCAACGGAGATGGAAAACTCCTAGAGGATCAAACGACGTAAGTCGGTCTTCCTCCCAGAAAACGAAGTCATGTCCCGGAAGTCGCATCCGGAGACCGTTTTTGGATCAAGAAAGCAAATCGTATATGGAGTGGCGATGAAGCGCAAAGTGCTGTCCTACCAGGCGAATAGGATGTAGAAAGGGGGTATTGTTATGATCACGTTCTGTCGGGCCTTAACGGCGGTCTATTCCGACACGATCATCACAAATATCAAGCGGCCTCACAAGGTGAGGCGTACAAACAAGGTACAGATAGTAACCTTGGTCATCCACTCCCAACGGATCACCCTATCGTTGGTCGAGTATCACGGGCCTATTGCGTAGTGGGCATGGGACGCCGCCTTACAAACTACTCACACACCGGGCATTGAGCTCCTAGTCTTTCCTGGCCGGAAGGAGACGAACGGAGAAGCACAAGAGTAGTCGTTATTGAGAGAGACAACTTAGAGAATACCGACGGATACATATACGGTATTCTCACGCCCTATTTCCTAAAGTAGTATAAAAGGCCCATAGAGTAGGCTGAGGTTCTTCAGTCTATTCTCTTCGTTCGTTGTGGTCTTCCTACCACAGCACTCTCATCCACTGTAGTCTTCCTACTACAGCCTTCATTGCTATATCGCAATACACCCCTGGCTCCTGTGCTACACGTACAGTCGAGACCATCGTTCCACACATCCTCCACGAGTGACCTAGGGAAGAACCTCCTACTCTTGGGGTTATCGAACGAGCAGTTCATAACAGTATGTCAACTGAGAGCTCCTTTTAGCTCTCCTTTTCCCAGAAAAGCTAGGAGCTATCACGCTGCATTGAGCTGATCCCTTTCATGTCATTACCCAAATAGGGCCCTTTTATTACAAGGAACACTCCATGCCAAACTCCTGAAGGGTTCCACATTCTACTATGGAACAACCTCCTCCATGACAATGAGCACTTCATATGTCACATGGGAGCCCTATGCACCCCCATTCTAGAGTACAAGACATTCCCTGTGCTATTTGGAATACTAACAAAGAGGAACCGCCCATCTATCAAAGAAATGAAGGCAGATGGACTAGAGGAACCCAGACGCCCTACCACCATGGAGCACACACTAGCAGAGATGTTCAACAATGAGATGGAACATCCACTCCTGCTTGTTGACTTTGTGCAAACGAGAGCACAAATCCTCAAAACAATTGATGAACTTGCCGCACTAACTTGGAAACTAAAAGAGATTGCTTCTGGACTCAATCCAAGCTCAAAGCATGGGATGCATTAGATGACCCAGGAAATTACAATGATGCTGACCCATACCACCAACCTGATGAAGGTGGAGATGGGTACCAAGGTAATGACAACTGAACACAAGGGACAATAGTAGAAAAAAGGGGAGTAAGGGAGTCGAGAAACCCCTTACCTATGAACAATAACTGCAACAAGGAGGGAAGGATCCCTGTCACATAGGTTATTAGCCCACGAATGGGATGCCTCACCAGAGGCTTGGTCCACAACAACCTAAAACTACGATCATCCCTCATGATATTAAACTGTATGACCTACATCCGAAATCGATGATAAACTACCCCATGTCCAGAATAATGTCTAAACTATCAGACCTGCATATCTTGAAACTGTGAAAAGACAAGAAGGCAGGGAAAGTACCAAACCACTAGCCTATATTCTAGTGATGGTAGAACATGGCACAATAGCAGGCACATTACTGTTAAGGGAGTAATCTGACAGATGCATTGAGTGTCTCATTTGGATCCTCAGTTTTACAGGGTTTTTTCTGCATTAGGGAACCCTCTACGACTTGAATATTTTGATGGTCAATAAGCCAGCTTCTTTATCTGGCACAACAAAGAATTCCATACATAACTGGTGCAAAGTCCAAGGTCCAAGACTATTTATGATACATAACTCAGTAAAGTGACCCTCATAGTCAAGGTCTGACTGGTGTTTGGATGTCCCACTTTGGATCTCTAGTTTTACAGGATCATTTTTACATTAGGGGATCTTAACTGCTGACACATGGGATAGTAGGGGCCGATCCCTCTTCTATAAAAATGCTTGCCCCCAACGGCAATGCAGGGATATTAAATACATCTAGAATGATGTAAAACTACCAAAGGCTTGGTCTGCAATGACTATAAAATACTAGGGTCTACAATAACATTAAACTAGTCTTATCTGAAATGACACTAAACTATCCTTGTCCAAGATGACATTAAACTACCATGGCTTGGAATTGAAGTACAAGAAATTCCGCTCCAAGACCTAGTCAGGAGGCAACTAGGACATATGCCTCGAGTCAAGCATCTAGTTGGGGAAGCAGCTAGATCGCAAGACTTTATTAGCTCACTTTATGGAAGTGCAATGGGAATTGTCCACTCCCCATAAGTCTATTTCACACATTAACATCCAAAATGACATTAAACTACTGTCCCTCAGTTTTAGGGATCATATAGTGCTGTCTATATCACAAAACAGCAGCATACATCCAAAATGACAATAAACTACTTACTCCTTACCAAATAGGAGTTGTGATTGACAGTCATGACCTTGGCCATCAATCAGTCCAAAATGACAATAAACTACTGTCCCTTTTTCAATAGGGATCATCAATCAACCATAGGGATCATCAATCAACATCATTTTTGATTAAAATATGTCAGTCAAGTCTGAAATGATGATAAACTACCTTTATTCTCGAAAGGCCAAGTCTATCATGACTCAAGGAATTCAGTCAGACAATATCAGTCACCTACCTCACGGCATTAATCTAAGTGGTCTCTAAACCTTGTGACAATATAAGTTATCTGGTTTGATACAGATAAACCATTCCCATCATGCCTCAGTGGAATCTAGCAAAGCAAAGTCTGTTCTATGGCCCTATGCACATTACTGATAAAGGATCTGGCATGCAGAAATATCTTCTTTTACAGATACTCTATATTGATGATAATGAAGGTCTGAAACAACCTTAATATAAACTACCAAATGACACCAAATGTTGTATTCATCTGTGATGACAGAAAACTATGAATGTCCACTATAATGCTAAACTAGCATTATGGATATACTCTACATGACCTTGATTAATCAATCATCTGTGGTCTTAATGTCTATTTATACATGCAAAGGCATAGCATGAGGAGAAGGAGCCAGACTCCTCCTCTTTTCTTAGTATGCCCTTCAAGTCTGATTCTCTTCATATTCTTCACCTCGATCATCTCTAGACATCATGCCAACCTCACCAGAGATGAGCTCATCATATGGGAGCAATACTGCTTGGGATTGTTAAAGAAACCTTGCCAGTCTGGAGAAGTAGGCCTAAGCCTTGTGTAAGCAATCAACCTACTTGTCCATGGACCCCCTTGGCACAGCAATCACAAGGGCAAACCAATAATCATGGGAATATAACAACTATCTTGGATACATAGCAAATCAAAGTTGTTGAAGAAGGAAGAAGAAGAAATTAATGACACAAACTAGAAACCACATGTATGAGTTTCTACTCATCTCACCCTCATTTGCATTCATATGTCTTTCTTGACACCATACTAAAAGCTGAACTAGTTTGGAGGTCCCTGGCTTGAGAACCCAGGCACACTCTATAAAAATTGAGGGGTGAAGGAAGAATACCCTACATATATAAGAAGATTGGTAGCCCTCGACAAGCTAGGAAACAAACAGCTCAACGGAGATGGACAACTCCTAGAGGATCAAACAATATAAGTCAGTATTCCTCCCAGAAAATGAAGTTATATTCCAGAAGATATATCTGGTTGATACATCATTTGGATCAAGAAAGCAAATCATATATGGAATGAAGATGAATGCACACATCTGGAAAACCATCCCTTTATATTAAGCTCTAATTAGTTCTATTTATGCATAATTAAGAACGATTAGGATTAGACATTTTTAGCTTAACCCCCCTCTAAACCTGTTCTAATTAGACATAATTTTCCTAAATTAGGAATTATTAGGATGGATTATAACCTGAAATTTTGGAAAAATCATAATAAATCAAGCATCAGTGTTTTCATAGCCTTCTTATAGAGTCATGTCTATTAGAGCACTAGTTCAATACCTAAACACAGAATATACCTTATAACAAACTTGCCTTTTGCCAGGGTTGAACCAACAACCTCATGTATGCAAGCACCTGGGACAGATGCTCTAAGCCACTAAGCCACAAGGTCTAAGATATAAACTTGGTAATCTAAATAAGTAGACATAATATAGGCAACCTCAACATCTCTGATTTTATTTAACATTTATCTTTCCTCTATCTTATAAATAAATAGGTCAATAAATACCTAAAAAGTCAGGTCTTTTAGGATTTAGTTTAAACACCAGCTAAGAAGATAATAAACCAATGGAAAATCAATAATACACTTTATATAGGATAAAAATAAATTATGGCACTTATACAATTTGGACTGAGAATGTGTAAAACTATGACTGAGTGTAATATTCAATGGGACTCTACTAGTATAGACAATGCTACCTTAATTTGCAAATTTGATTGAAACATGATTATGAATAATCAAGATCCAATAAGAGAGAGGGGTTTTCCAAATAGCCACTAGTGAGGTAGAGGGTGGGGACAAGTGTATATGTATGGCATGCCTATACATAAATAAGCACAAGATTGTTGGAGGTGATCTTAATATGCTTAATGCATATATTTCCTATATGGTAGGCAAATATATTATTCTGGCACCACATACCAATATGACTGTCTTTTCCACAGCCTAATAGCTAGAGGAAAACACCAAGTTTGAGCATCTTCTGTATAACAAGGCAATAAACAATATAAATAGTGCTAAAAATTGTAATATCAATAGTGATGATGATTGTGTGCTGCACAAGACAGTATTAGCCACTATACTAATAGATAAGGTCTATAAGGCTGCATATAGCATATCCCTAAGTCCAACCCACATGTTGTGTCCTATAATGACCAGTAGCAGGCATTGGCTAATAATGACAACTTTAATGATCTTGTGTGCAAGGCCAAGATACCTAGGCCTTCATAGCCTCTTGTGGCAGCTGCCAAGCTGCCAACAAAGTGGCTGGGGGCATCAATGCACATTTCTCTCTTTCTATATCCCTTATAAAAGCAGCTGGAAAGTCAGCAAAAGAGCTACAAGATAATGGTATAGGCATATATGAAGGAGAGTAATATGCTGAAACAGTATAAAATGTGCCACATTTTTACCTTCTCACTGATAGAGCAGTAGTACTTACTATTTCCTACTAATAATTAAAGACTTCTTAGTATGGAATTAGTGCTAATATCATGAAATTAGAAACCAATACAATGCTCACAGTATGTTGCTCCCAATTAGGAAATTAGACACTTTTAGATACTATGAACACTTTTAGATACTTTTAGACACTATTAGATATAATCTGGAGCTAATACAAGGGGGTGTTTTTCCAGATGCAGTGTTGTCCTACCAGGTGAATAGGAAATAAAAAGGGGGTATTGTTATGATCACAACTTATTGGGCCTTTATGGAGGTCTATCTGATACGATTATTAGGCCTTTATGGAGGTCTATCTGATATGATTGTCACAACTATCAGGCAGCCTCACAGGCTAAGGCGTATATTAAGGTACAGGTATTATCCTTGGTCATCCACTCCCAGTGGATGCATCTGTTGCTGGTTGAGTATCACAGGACAATTGCGTGGGTGGCCAATGGCAGTCTAATCATATACTCACAGGCATAAAACTCCTTGCCTGCCTTGTTGGAAGGCGGCAAGTGCAGACAACAAGAATAGTCATTCTTAGAGAGTAATGACTTAGAGAATACCTATGGTATACATATACAGGATTCTCACACCCTTCTCAAAGTAGTATAAAAGGCCCATAGAATAGGCTAAGGATATTTAGTCTATTTTCTTTGTTCAGTACTGTCCCCTAATAGTACTACCTTTGCTCTACTGCAGTCTCCATACTGCTGTACCCTTACACTTGCAAGCAGCCCACTTGCTACTCTGCAATAACATCAGCTCCTATGCTGCACATACAGCCAAGACCATCATTCCACTTTTCCTCCTCGAGCAACCTAGGGAAGAACCCTCTACTCTTGGGGTTATTGAACGAGCAGTTCATAACACTAGTACTGTCTTCCTACAGTACTCTATCTGCAATATTATCTACTCCTGTGCTACACTTACAGTTGAGACCTTCATTCATTCTTCCTTGTGAAGCAACCTAGGGAAGAACCTCTTACTCTTGGAGTTATTGAATAAGCAGTTTATAATAGTAGGTGGTCACTATTATCAATGTCCCTCATAATGTTAAACTATACAAATTCATTCACAAAAATATAAAACTACCTCCATTCAGAATGACATCTAAACTACTAAACCTATATATCCTTAAACTGTGAAAAGACAAGAAGCCAGGGGAAGTACCTGACCAATACTAGCACCATACGTATACAATACAATAGCAGAGGTATTATGAGGTGGCAAAACTTATGGTGAAGCATTTCATATCCTTGCTGTCAAAGAGT